CACAAATTCGCTCAAGGAAACCCTAATAGGCTATTTCTGGACTACTGGCTCTTAACAAATCTATAGCACCTGAAGTGTTAGCACTCAATTAGTGACAAGGTTTCAAACCCCGGCGTTTACTGGTGAGGAATAAACAGAGTCCTCGGGAGATAGCCGGGAATTAAAGCGGGAGGGGGCTCTGGACATCTTAACTGACTGGGATTAAGAGTAAAACTTTTTTAAAAGGCTCCATCTCTCTCTTTCTAAACAGTCCGAGGTGTCGAAGTCTCAGGGGGAGAGAGGATGTGCGCTCCGGAGCTAATTGAGGGGGGGAGGTTTGTTTTCAGCAAGAAAAGCTTTTTTTTTTTTTAATGGCATTTAACAATCCAGGTGAAAAGCAACGAGGGGGTGTGAAAGTCAGCCCTCCCCTGTGAGCAGCTTGTCTGGGAGCGGGAGTCGGACTCAGTCCCGAGCAGGCAGCGAGAGCAACCTGCAAAGCGTGTGAACCCGGCAGGAGGGAGCGGGGACTGTTTCAAATACGGCCTTTTCCCCTCGCAACCAGCAGAAAACCAGCGGCTTGAACCAGAAAACCTCACCCTTCCGCCGCCTTCATTTAAACCCAGAAGGCTTGGGTCCCGTGCGGCTGGGTGGGATGGAGAAGGTTTTTCAGAGCCCTCCTCGGGGGTCCCGTTTTCCTTTACTCCTGTTCACGTGTATTTAAGGCTCGATTCTGATTTCATACCTATTGGCCTGTAATCAAAGGCACCCCACGGAGGGCAAGACCCCGGCGCTGAAAGCAGTATAGGAGAGCTCGGGGTGCAGCCCTAGGGCCGGGATGCCCCAGGGAAGAGGATGGAGAAGGTTTTTCAGAGCCCTCCTCGGGGGTCCCGTTTTCCTTTACTCCTGTTCACGTGTATTTAAGGCTCGATTCTGATTTCATACCTATTGGCCTGTAATCAAAGGCACCCCACGGAGGGCAAGACCCCGGCGCTGAAAGCAGTATAGGAGAGCTCGGGGTGCAGCCCTAGGGCCGGGATGCCCCAGGGAAGAAG